GTTCTTGCTCCTAGTAGCGATGCCAGGAGCCCCTAGTAGCGTTCTTGTGCCTAGTCACAGTTCTGACGTCCTATTTGATATTGAATTTCACAAAATCACCAGACTGAGAAGACACCACCGACACAGCAGCAATCTCAGCGGTGCCTGCTGAAGGAGTTGCAGGAGCTCCTCAGCCTGTGTGCTGCGTGTGCATTGGCTCAACTGCCATTGTAGCATCATGTCTAGCATCAACTAGCTCAGATGTCAAAAATGTCAAATGCTACATAATGCTACAGACAATAATTTCTCAAATGATTCGCCTGTCAACTGCCCTGTGCACTTTTTTGTCTGCTCAGTTTCCTCATGTTTCCCTGTCCGTGTTTCCTTTTCGTTGCGCTCTAGTGGCCTCTGAAGACATACCCAGACCCATGCGGCCGCCGTTCATTGCAGCCATGATTCAATTAGATTAAACACCTGCAGAATACTTGCTGAGGTGGTGGTTAAGGAGTTTTTCGGGGAAGTCAATTCATCTCGAACTGAACTGCCCCTTGTGATGCTGATCTGCCAGAGTTCGACCCCCCCAAAAAAAACCTTCTTGAGTCCAACTGCTCAGTCATTGAGGAAGCCTTTTGATTTACAAAAAACAGTTGTGTCTGTGGATCTGTGCTCGTGATGCACGGTGCTTGACACAGCTACAGAGCGTCACTCTCGTCATTCTTCGGCCTAAACCCAAGTGGAGAATCTGTAGGGCCAACAACCGGCTTACGTGTTCAAGCATCTTTCAAGACTCCGGTTTTTCTTTTTTGGACAGACCAAACTGGTAGGTCTTGGAGACAGTCCCCTGACGGTGAAAAAAGGTCGAAGACATGCTGCTCATGAAGAAAGGAAAAAGAGAAGAACGGGTCTAAACGTCCGAAGGAGAAAACAAAACAGACACGCTTTACATTTTCCTGCATTTGTACTGTTTGCGTTTCGCGCAGCAACTTTGAGATTTGCCAATCGACTTTGCCGCTCCATAATCAAACCAAAAGTCTTTTGGACATATATGTAATATACTGCACATATATATTATATATTTGTAATAATTATCTACTAAATTGATATTGATAGAACTGCATATATTAAGTGTCCCTAAAATCTAGAGACTAAATCATTAGTGCGCCCCCCGCCCTCAGGTGAGCTTCCTTGAAGAAGTGTGAGCTATCCTGCGTCCAGTTGCGTCCTACTTAATAGCTACAAATTGGTTACCTCTTCTCCTCTATCCGCACTCCATGTTGGCTACCTACACCCCCACCTCATATTTCTGAGTTTGGGGGGGTATTTGGAGCGATGCAAGGTGGATTGGATTTCCAAGGTCTCCGTGCCTTCCGGCGCTCATGACCGGCTCTGGATCGGTGACTTGACACACGTGACAGTCTTCCAAAACAAACTTCAGAACAGTCATGTGAAAGGAAAGAAAGAAGGTCAAAAAAGGATAAAAACGGTGAAAAAAAGAGAAAGAAAAGGTCTGGAGAAGAAACAAGAGAAAGAAAGGGGATAAACACTGCGACGCACTGCGACGCATGTCAGAACAAATCACCTGACCAAGTTCACCAAGTGCCTTTTCAGTGGGGCCTGCACGGAGCTGTGCGATCGATCGAAAAGGCATTTGGTAGGTGACATTTAGCCACCTCTTAAAGATGTCGAAAAGTGAGGTGAGCTGTGCTCATGGCCTGTACAAACGGGAAAACACCTTCCTCCTTCTTCGACGCTCTTGGATTTGGGTGCCGAAATGTGAGCTGAAGGTAAAAGAATGAAAAGGCCTCCCACCTCGTTGCGATGGCCTTCAACCTCATTGCGGTTTCCTCCAACCTCATAGCGATGGCCTCCAACCTCATAGCGAAGGCCTCCAACCTAATAGCGATGGCCTCCAACCTCATAGCGATGGCCTCTAACCTAATAGCGATGGCCTCCAACCTAATAGCGATGGCCTCTAACCTAATAGTAGCGATGGCCTCCAACCTAATAGCGATGGCCTCCAACCTAAATAGCGATGGCCTCCAACCTAATTGCGATGGCCTCCAACCTAATTGCGATGGCCTCCAACCTAATAGCAATGGCCTCCAACCTAATTGCGATGGCCTCCAACCTACCAGCAATGGCCTCCAACCTACTAGCTGTGCTGGTTTAGCGGTGTTGCTCGAGTTACGGGTTCCCCCGAGGCATCCTCGCGGTAAATACGATAAACATCAGCTTTTTCTTGCTTTACCTTTTTGTACCGGGGGGGTCTTCTACCACATCCGCGGTGAAAAAAGGGTAAAAGTCAATTTTTTATTTCTTTACCTTTTTGTCTGGGGGATGCCCCTTTTTTGCCTTCTGCGCTCCCAGGCAACAGCTTTCACCCAATAAGCCAGTGCTGCAAAAGCATGACCAAGCAAATCTGATAGAATGGATGAATGGGTAGTCACATCGATTCATAGCCTCTGGGAGACTTTGCATGAAAGGAGTCTGCGTAGACTCGAATGGTGAATCCTGACGGTGGACTGGACCACTCACAGCTTGTAGTTGTGCAGCACTCATTTCGGGACGCGACAACAGCCTTTCAGAATTGAACTGCTGCAAGTCATGCTAACATAATCTAACATATGTGAACGGTTTTGGGATCAAAAAATGAAAACTATTCCTGTGTAGAGGATCAACCTTCGTCTGTGCTCTGTGGCACACCATGGCCATGCGTTCAAAGAGCGACCAAACATTTGTTTATGTCGAATAAACAATTCCAATTCAAATCCATTTCAATTGTTTATCTAATTGAAATTCAGTTCTAATTCTATTCTAGTTCCATTGCTATGCACTTCTATGTGAATCCAATTTGAAGTTGATTCTATCTATCGATTTCTGATTTAAACACTAAAACACTAAATCCCTTCTATTTTAATATTGGCTTAATCAGGGATGATTCTATTATTGTTCTATGAAATTTGTTCCTGCTTTTCGTTTGAATGTTTTTAGTAAGAGGTCATTGCATGTCTCTAATAAACTATTATTCTTGAATCTGGGATACACTTTATTTAGGGTTGAAAAACTTTCACAAAGTGATACCCCCCGTGTATTAATCAGAGGTCAACATTAAACCTTTTGTTTACAAAGAGCTCTTCTAGCTTCGACCTGTTCCCAAGGCATCCGCACGGTAAACGAGAAAATAATAGATTGCGTCTTTTTTTGCCGTTTTTAACGGAGAGTCGCCCCTTTTTTCTACCATATCCGCGGTAAAAACGGTAAACATCGATGTTTTCCTTTTTTACCGTTTTTCCTGCGCGGGCGCGAAAGGGTACCCCTTAACAAAACAACGCACGCGAACCGACTTAGCCTACCTGCGACTTAGCCTACATGGCCTCCAACCTACTAGCGATGGCCTTGCGCACCGCTTGCAACTTACAAGTTCTGTAAAAGACTTCTATTTCAGATCTATCCGCACACCCAGCTCCAGAGTATGTGAGCTCTATGGCTCAGTATGTGGAAGAAACTTCCTTCAAAACATGGGCGCCGACCGACCAGGGCGGCTCGGGGGAACACGGCCGTGTGCCGGGATCCGGGCGCCTTTCGGGGGCTCTACAGTCAATCAGGGCCCCAAGACGATGTGGTCAAACTGCGCTCAGAAATGGCAAAATGCATATCGCAATTGGTTGGAGGCCATTCCTATTGGGTTGGAGGCCATTGCAATTAGGTTGTGCATGAGACAAGGCATTCTCCACTTCGAGAGGCAGTTATCATCCACCCTGAAGCAATCAAACATCTGTTATCTCAGCGATGAAGGTGTCTCTCTGGTGAGGCATCAAAACAAACCTTCCCTCCTGCTGGAGCTGCATCAAAGTGCGAACTATGTTCTTCCTTTCATGTATCTCTTCTCCTGGCATCGCTGCTAGGAACAAGAACGCTACTAAGGCCTCCTGGCATCGCTACTAAACTAGGAACTTCTCAAATGTCTCCTTCTTCGCCGAGCTTCTCAGTCCAAAGTCTCAGCTGTCTCAGTCCGAGAACCGCAAACCTCTCTATGCTACAAGGGCGCCACCGAAGCTCCGCCAAGCGTAGACCTGACACACAGCATTTTTGAGGATCTTCGTTGCTAAAGAACTTTGCAACTGTTGCATGCTTCTTGGAAGGCATTCTAGTAAGTTGTCAATTATGCCTAAGCCTCTTTCTTACAGCAAGGGTTCTATTGCGACCCGGGTGCTGCCAGCTTACCTCAAAGGGAAACTTTAAAAAAAAGGAGAGGTCCCACGGTTAACTTTCCGTATCATGCATATCAGTAAAGGCCCCAAAGGCTAGTTAGGCAAAGAAGCATGCCGGGAGTCTAAAGAGTTTGTCTTAGATTAAACAATGTTACTTTGTATCTTTGTCTCTTCTTTTCAGATCGCTTTATCTTTCTTCTTCCGGCGTCTTGTCCTACCCCAAACATTTTTTCTCGGCTGAGCAACCCCACGCCACAGAAAAAGAGGATGTAAAGCAACGCACGAAGTAGCAGTGACCTGAGAGGACCCGATCGAGTGCGCAGTCTGGCATCGCTACTAGGTGCAAGGACGCTACTAGGGGCTCCAGCTTGCTGTAGTTTCACAGTGGTGTTCGGCAGATTGCTCGCGTCACACGGCAGGAGTTAATCAGACTGTGTTGGACGAAAAAGAATCAACATCGCTAGTAGGTTGGAGGCAAGACAAATCGCTTGTTGCAAGCACCATTGCTTGCTCCCAAGACGCTGCAGCGCTCTGCCTTTCGTCGAAGCCTCACGAATGTTGTGATCTTTTGCGAACATGATGGTGATCATGAAATTCCCACAGCATCTAGAATCTGTGGGATACTGGGAATCAAAGAGATCGCAGAGCAATCCAGAAGTTGATCTTCGGCAACTAGTCAATAAGCCCGCCCAACCCACCCACTCGCCCGCCCGCCACCACCCAGACCCAGCCGCACATCCTAGCCCATTCATGTAATCTGGATGCAATGTGGAGTTTCTGAAGAATACTTTCTGCACGCAAAACAGTTTCTGAAGATCACATAGGTTCTGAAGACTAGTTTCCGAAGAGCAGTTGCGGAAGAATACTAAATAACTGGGGAAGGATTCGGAATAGACTTTCATCATCCTTTCATGGTCTTGGGTATCATTGACCAGACTGGGGAAGACAGCTCAACACGCCTTTTCCTTTGAAGGAGGCGATGCCGCTGCTGCCATCCTCCTTGGATTGTAGCATGTTCATCAACTCCGCCCAAACATCCAATGCTGGGCTTGTTTGTGGTTTGCATAGGAGGAAGGACGCTATTAGGGGCTCCTGGCATCGCTACTAGGAGCAAGGACGCTACTAGGGGCCCCTGGCATCGCTACTAGGAACAATGTTCGCTACTAGGGGCTCCGGCATCGCTACTAGGAGCAAGGACGCTATTAGGGGCTCCTGGCCATACTACTAGGAACAATGTTCGCTACTAGGGGCTCCTGGCATCGCTACTAGGAGCAAGGACGCTATTATACCCAAAGGTATCGTTGTACTCCATCCATCGTCTTGGAGAACTTCGCTTGTCGCGGGCCCGTCTTTCCAGTATGTGTA